AGAGGTTTCCTGTTGGCCTTCGATGATCGCTGTTGGAAATAGACAGTATAAAAAACACAAGACAGTTGGTTACTGAGGTATGTATAGAAACAAATCCGACATTGGCGTCTTCTCTGTCATACCGTTATCTGTAAGTACACACTCCTCTACGTATAACTCTCTGTTTCAAAGCTAGGTACGTGTAAAGGTTGGGTACAGTGATACCTACCTCAAAGTTAGATGTGGCAGTGTTCCCCATAATTAGCCACAATCGGACTGTGACGAGTTTTGTACTTGATCTGTACCTCAAGCACAGTTGTCAGTGTAGTGGGACGAAAAAACTCAATAGGGCTTTGATGGTTAGTAGGCTTTCTAGCAGGGCGATGCCACTACAGCTCTTGGTTTTCAGAACGTGGCACTTGGAAGTTGGCTGTCAAGGCGGATGCGAGACACACTGTATAATGTACATGGTAGGGACATTGTACACAATTCTGCATACAGGTGTGTGCAGCCTTCTCCTACTTTGATTGAACTTCTCTCCACCACTATCTAGGTAACTTTCTAAATAACCATCATACGATGATTTGGCCTCCACTCAACTCTAATTCTAATAGAGGTTAACCAGAGCTTCACCTATCGAGGCTCCGCTCGGTTTTCTGGCTGGACAGAAACCGCCTGAAAATAGGATCGAGGCTTCCAAACCACACAACCCACTGAGACGACGGTGGGGGGCGCACTTTATCGACTGAGCTGTCAGTGTGTCGTTTCTGGTCCAAATGCTAGCCTCGCCTTGTCGAATCTCATAAGCCTGGCGCCTTATTTGTTTACTCATTGTCCTACATGCTGGCCACATAAAAGGCCAACCCAAGCCAGCCTTGATTCCGATTGACTGCGAGATATTGTTGGCTGCCTTCGTTCCCTCCCTGGCCGCGGAATTACTTGTGCGACGCACGAGTCCATGTTGACCAGCCCATTCCACCGCATACGCACCATTGCATTGCCCTGTCTTTCAGGCCAGCGTGGTTGAGAAGCAATCCTAACCGGTCTTCAACATCTGCCCGTCGACTTTATTCACTCCCGCCTTTACTTTTCTATTACGGCCTCTCAAGACTTGCAACCGCCAGCGGTCGTAGAGCTACCCCACACAGGCAGGGCACACGATAATTTCATCAACCTGCCGATCTTCCGCTGCCCTCAACGACAATGATTAGCCGCATTCTCATCTCCTCGCGGGCTGCGCTGATTCACACTATTTCCTGATCTCGGATATCCAAAAGTCCTCTTCTTTGCGACCACATCGCCAGGTTGGCTTGGCGGATCCTTTCCCGACAGTCGCGAGACTATTTCCGCTTCTTTTTTCCCCAAACTGCTTGGTATAGCATCGTCTATAACTAAAAAGACTGCCGAACTATGGCTACCGCACCACAAGCCTCGGCTTCTAAGAAGCTTTCTTTTGCAAAGGTTGGTAGATTCCCTCGAATTCAAGTCCAAAAAGTAGTATAGCCAAGGGTCCTCTGTCGCTAATTTCGGTACTAGGTTCTTGCCTCTCACCCCAAGGAGCTTTCGTCTCCTACCACCGTACCTCGCGTCGCTGTACCCAACATGGACCGTCGCGCCCACCCCCCCGTCGTGAACGGTAGGTCTGTCCCGCCGGGGGCGCCAACAAGTATAACGCCTACTGCTCAACCCACTTCAACTAGAGGTGAAGAGAGGGGCACCGCTCAATCCCAAAATGAGGCTAGGGCGAGGGACGATGTGCCCAAGGGCCCAAGTATCCCCTCTGTGGATACCAGTCTGGCGTCTACGCCGAGCTTAGTAGTAAATGGCTCTTCAACGTTAATAGTAGAGTCGCTAAGCAAGCCTGATAATGCTGCTTCTGGCTCAGATGACGTCTCGCAGCGGGCGGATTCCATTTCAGAGATGGGAACTAAGGCACCCAGCCTGGATGGAAAGAGCATCACTTCGGGCACGACGTTTGCTCTAGACGAAAAAGAATCCCTACGCCCCGATGATAGCGCGAGTGTTAAGGCGGGGGTCGAGGATGACGAAGCCTTTTCTGTCAGAAGTTCCTTGCTGGCAACTTCTCGTATGGGCTCCGAGATTGCGCGTATTCATCGCCTCAGAATCGGTGATATGCCAGAGAAAAGGATCGTACAAATCCTCCCTGAAGCCCAGGATGAAGCGCTCGTTACTCCGCAGAGTGGAGCATCAAATCAACAGCCAGCTGTTGAGCAACCCCCGGCATTAGGTGTGCCGAACGCAACCCCTGATGGTTTCAACTCAATATATGGTCAAAACCCGGATGACAAATTGTTGGAGGCTATGAAGTCACCGAAAGACCGCATCTTTCTGTTGAAATTGGAGCAGGATGTCATTAACTTTGTGCAATCATCAAAGTAAGTTCTTCCACGGAAAGTCGCCATGGTGGAGACGAACCTCTCGCTAATCTGTGCTTAGGGAACCTTACATGGATCTTCCTCCGAACAATTCTTTCTGTCGGATGCTGACGCATAAACTGGCCGACTATTATCACATGACACATTCCTTCGAGGCGGTCCAGGGTGCCGTGCGTATCTACAGAACCCCCTTCTGTCGAGTGCCCCCTTCTCTAGCGAGTATTATAGAGAACAAGGCAGAGGAAAGCCCGAAGACTCCACCTCCGGTAGTATTACCGAAGAAGATCATGCGGCGTGGCGAAGACGGCGGATCCGGCCAAGTTAGTACCAGTGCATCGAAAGCCACGTCCGAGGTCGGGAGCGATGGCAAGGAAAAGACCCTCACCAAAGAAAAGTAAGCTGAGAACCTATCCCGCGTTGGCATTCTCGAACGCTGCTAATTCCAAATTCAGAATGACCAGAGAAGAACGGGAAGAGGCGTACAAGATTGCGAGAGAGCGGATTTTTGGCAGCAGCGCAGATAAGCCAGCGGAGTCGGGACAAGGTTCGTATGCCGACTACCCTCGTGCTTTGGATTTTAGCTGACATGAGGTAGATACTTCCGACGCAAATGGGGTGTCCCGTGCTAGCTCTGTGTCAACCAAGGACAAATCCAACATTGGCAAGAGAGGCAAGACTGGCAAGCAACGTAGAGATGACTCGGAGAGCTTTGATTCGCGCTCCCAGTATATTCGATATTTCCATGCTCCTCCCCAGATGCATGCCTTCGAGTATGGTGCTACGGCTATGCAGTACAACGGCCAAGCGCCACAAGCGTATCAATACCAGATGCCTCCCGGCGCTCCCTATCAGGCGCCGCCGCAAGGATATCCTCCTATGATGCCCAACACTACCTACCAGCAGTATGGAAATGTGCCAATGGTTAGAACCCTATGCTCTCGACAATGAACTTTGACTAGTTGCTAACTGGGCCGTAGTATCCGCCTCAGAGCCAAGCACTACCAACCCGGTACCCCTCCAACGGCGGAAACATGGGGGCTAGTTATGGGCCCCCGCCCCCGGCCCCGTCTACGCCTCAACAATCCTGGCAACCCGGGTTCAATCAAACCCCTCCTGGTCCTTCGCCCGGCCATTACCAAAACCGGGGTTCGCAACTTTCCCCAGGAAACGCGGCCGCGATGGCGGTTCCTTATCCGTATGGCCAACTGCCAGCCAATGCAAACCCCCACGACCCCAAGAGTCAACATCCTATCCCTGGAAGCTACAATCGTCATGCTTTCAACCCCAAAACCCAGTCATTTGTGCCGAGCAACGGGATCAACCCCGTCCAACCCACGATGGGCCCCTATAATATGGGGGTCCCTCATGGGAGTCCGCAGGTTGGTCCCGGTTCGCCACACATGCCTTATGCAGGGTACTCACCCACTCTACCTCAACCTTATCTAGGAGGCCCCGGGTACGGTATGAGCCGCCAGAGTTCTAATAACTCTTTGGTGGCGTATCATGCGCCCCATCATGTCTCACAACATCCACAACATCCGCAGCACCCACAGCATCCGCAAGCACATACCCCCCACATGTCAAGTAAGCCGGGGGCTCCGGCTCAAGGACCCTCCTCCTCTGGGGTCGGCCAGACTTTCAGCCATCTCCCTAATTACGGAAATCCCGCCACCCTTCCCCAGAAACCGCCGACGGGCATTTAGACGACGCCAATCTACGGCGCACATAGCACATGAGAGCAATGCATTAGTGGTGTTTTCTGTTTCAACAGGCGATGAGCCGCCTTTATGAATGGATGGATAAGGGCTATAGCACAAAAGATGATGACCACCAAGGGCGTTTATCGGACCGCGGGTGGGTTTACCATTGCAATATAACGTCATCATTGGCGGGAGTTCTGGGCGAGACGGAGTAATTCATGATTGACCTCGTTTCCCTCCTTTCCTGCTATTTACATCGGCACCTCTCGGCAAATAGGAGTCGAGGCGAGCTTCGGTCTTCTACATTGGGACATTGGCTTCGACGTACCACTCGAGAGCGATGTCCAAAGGCTTGCGCTATCCAGTTAAATTTCTCCAATTGACATAAAAATGACGAAGTCATGTACCCATAATTGCCGTTGATAGGGTGGCACACCTGGATTTGGTGGATGTGGAATTGGTGTTCAAAAGAGGGCAGATTGGCTGGAGTGCTTTCTAGATTACGACCAAGCGGACAGAGACACCTCAACCATTATGATTCGATATTATGGCAGCATAAATAGTGGCGCCTCGTAGCACTTGCTACTAGGTAGTAGGATGCATAATAATGAAAAAATGGCAATTTCTTAAGCCCTGACAGGTGTACCCGTATCGTGACATGATGTTACATACCGAAATATGATAGGTTGTTTAAATGTTTCCCAGTTCTATCGCCTTGAGATAGCCATGCTGACCTGCAATTAGCCCAAAGGAAACTGAAGCGCCAGACCTAGATATAAAGATGTACTCGCAAGTCGCAGCTGTGGGTAACATACAATACTAGATGGAAATAAACAAGAAGATAACAAAACCACCCTACTTATGCCCTTTTGACACCCCCTGTTCACACTACAAGCGAGGAACCAAATTCACCTAACTTTGAGTCGCCCCACTGGCGCAATGGTTAGCGCGCTTGACTTCTAAATCTTCCAAGAGTAGAGGTATCAAGAGGTTGCGAGTTCGAGTCTCGCGTGGGGTTCTCTCTTCCTTTTTGGCTTGTAATATACATATTAACCAGGAGAGGCTGTAGACATAAGAGGTGCAAAGCAACTTTATCACGTCTTTGCTTTTTTATTGTTATAAGTGTCATGGTAGACTAACTAGCTTAACCTTAGTATCCCTATGCTCGCTCACTTGTCTTGACAAGTAAAAGGGCAATATCCCTATGCAAAACATGGATTTCCTACTTGTACAAGTAGTGTGTCAGTTGGAGGATTGTTAGCACTTAACCTATTAGGTTAGTAAGGTATTGCAACACAACAGTCACACCTGTATTTGAACAAATAAACTGCTATTGTTTTCATGTGTTTTTGTTTCTAGTTTTCCTTGGTGGCCTTCTGTCTATGCTCAGACCCTTCCAAACCGGATAGAACGCCTGTACTAGTAATGCTCTCTACTCTGCTCTTCTCTTCTTTCGCAAATCCTGACGTCTTCTGAGAAACAGGTATCCATGTCTGGTTCAGGCGGATAAGCTCCTTTTTGCCTTTCCCCTTCAGTTTTGACCACCATTGCTCATGCTGCACTTTTGGGGTGATCGGATCGGTTTAAACTGTTGCGTACCCTTCTTTGTCCCTCAGGTGTGGGGAACTGCTGACGACCATGGTGATATATATGTGGTCACTCGTCATGGGCCCCTTCATTATTCTCCGGCTTGGTTGATTCGTATGGTTCAGGGACCCAAAAATTACTCGGTAGGCTCCCTAGGTTCCCTAGGCTCCCGGGTATCCCTCTGTTGACCACCACCCCGGCCGCCACCTCGGCCACCACGCTTGCCACCACGTCCACCTCGGTCTCCACGGTCACCGCGCTCTCCCTTCTCACCATCCTTGACATCCTTGTCACCCTCGGCCAGAACGGCAGTGGCAAGCCTTTGGCTCAGGTCTATCTGGGTCCGGATGGAATTGGCCAGGTAGCTCACCATGAGCACATCTTGGATATGGTTGTTGAAGTCGGCCTCGATCTGGACGGGATCAACCTTGGGCGCCAGTGCCAAGGCGCCCATCAGGTACTGGCCGAGGGCGTTATTAGGCTCCTGCTCCTCGTCGATGATGGCGCTCACGAACTCTGAAACGCGGTCCAAGAGGTCCGTGGTATACTCTATGCTACGGGCGAGAGACTCGATGTCGGTGCCGATAGGGGCCGTGCGGCTCTCATTGTCCTTTGCGCTCGATATCAAGTCTAGTGCAGACCGCTCAGCCTCATTATAGGCAAGCTTGTGCGGCACCTGGATGAACAGGCAGCTTTCGGCCGCACGGTCGGCGGTGACGGCCACGGGAGATGAGATGTAGGCGCGTAGCTCGAGATCTGAACCGGGATCGGTCGACACGGTAAGGTGAACAGCTGGGTGGGGAAACGTTCCTGTTTCGGGAGAGGCGAAGAAGTTCTGGATCAGAGCGCTAAAGCTATTAAGTTCGGGAGATGTCGTATACCATCCCAGCAACGTTTCGCGAGGGTTGGCCTTCAGGTGGAGTGAAAGCATATTCTTCTGGTACTCGACGTCCACTTCGACCTGATCTTCGTTCTCCGTGTGAGGGATAGCAAAGGAGGAGACCACCGACACCTCGCTTCCATCTTCAGACCGTGTCCCTATCAGGGCACCAATCACACGCGACGAGGTGGTGGGTGTTGCCGGAACATCGCGACGGACGGCATGGTCGAGGATGGAGAAGATGGCCTAAGGCAAAGGGACGAAGGTCAGTCAGTGCGACGACAAATGGACGCACGAGCAGAAGGGAAGATTAGACCCGGCAACAGGGGGGGTTTCGACGTACTTGAGGTTGGATATTTACGTAGAGCGGGGACAGGGTATTCTGGTAGTGGTATGACGATGGCGCCAAAGGTCTGGAGAGATGGAGAAACGACCCTGTGTCTACCGAAGCCATGATTGCGAATGGTGTCGGGTAAAACGAAAATTAGGTGTGGGTTAATGAGGCTAGAAGAAGACCTGCGAATTTCTGAGGCTAATAATCAGAATGATCTCTTTTTGCCCGTTGTCGCCTTCCAGGTCCTTAGATCGATGGGGTCGCTTGTCACTTCCCCCAAGTCGCTTTGGCAATTTTCACAATTGTTGTGGGATTGGTGGGGCTCAGTGCATTTACCTGCGTGCGAAAACGATTTGGAGGGGGATTCGAAGTGGTGATAGGGAGATTACGCTAAGATAAGCCATGGACTAACCTATGTGGGTTAGCTGGTAGCTCCCCAAAGTCACTGTCAGGTACATAAGTGGGGTACTCTACAGTGCACAATACCTGTTAGAGGAAGCCCATACAAGCACCTATCCTTGTGGCTTAACGTAAACTTTGTGGCTCAAGAACCCCGGATCCATATTAACTTTTTTTATATTTGCGATATACAGCTTGGGCGTATAAGACGTTCATTGTGAAGGCTAATGAATTGAGTAAACTGTTTATAATTTCAGGCTTGTAATCGTCTGAGTCTTTTTTTCTCAACCCCCTGTTTTATCACGTTGGGAACACTACACTGGCCTGACAATGCCCCCTAGAGGTAAATTCTCAGGGCGTGGTGGATCTGTAAGAGGCCGAGGAGGAAGGGGCGGAAGGGGAGGCAGAGGGGGTGCGAAAAGAAGTTTTGGCGGAGCACCAAAGTTCAAGACAGCAAGGCTTGACGAAGTTGAGTAAGTTCAAGAGAAAAAGTTCATGTTCGAAACCTTTGCTTACTTCCATTCAGGGAATCGGGCAGTGAGGAATCCGCTGAAGAACCACAAGTGGATTCGGAAGATGAGAGTGAACTCTCAATATCGGATGCAGAAGATGAGCCCACAGCAAACCAGCCATACTTGGCTCTAATGGAAAGTTTGAAAAAGGATTATGATCCTAGCTTGGCGCCTAGTGCAAAAAGGAGAAAGATAGACCATGAAACAGAACAGTCTCAGGCTTCGACCTTTATACAAAAACAGGAGGAAGATGACGAGGCAAACTCGGTGGAAGAGCAGGGAGACGTCGATCATGTCGAAGAACCGGAGGATGAACCGGAAAACGAAGAGGAAGGTGCTGATGAAGACAGCGACGACGACGACGTACCTGACACTTCCGACCCCTTTGAAACTCACTTCGTCACCCCTGATTCCACCGGACTCAGTATCCGCTTAAAGGGGGTCCAATCAAATACTTATCAATCGAAACACCTGGAGAAAAATGGCTGGCGGCTTCTCAAAAGTATACCAGCGGAAACCCCTGACGAGATAAATTTCGAGCCTCCAACCTTCTCAGGCCCGTCAAGTTTGAAACTCAAGCATAGGCTCGTCGACACTTCGCAAAAGCAGCGGCCAGTATTCGACAAACTAGAGCAGGTTTTATATCCTATCACATTTGGATATCAAGATCTCTTATTCTGTGGCCGGAATGTCACCAACTCAGAGAATCTGAGGCGGATGACCTGTCTCCACGCCGTTAACCATGTCTTCAAGTAAGTCCTACATATTAAAAAACAATGGCAAGATACCGCTGACTCACCTTACAAGAACACGAGACCGGGTGATCAAGAACAATGCAAAACTGGCCAAAGAAGGCGAAACGTCAGACTTTGAGCCACGCGACCAAGGATTCACTCGGCCCAAGGTCCTCATGATCCTACCTACGCGGGAAGCCGCGGTCAAGGTGGTAAATGCAATATGTGCCTTATGCGAGCCCGATCAGCAGGAAAACCGCAAGCGTTTCGACGAGTCTTACATCGACCGGGAGACCAAGTTTTCAGCGGACAAGCCAGCTGACTTCCGGGAACTGTTTGAGGGAAACGACGACGACATGTTCCGCATCGGCATCAAGTTCACTCGCAAAACAATCAAGTACTTCTCGCAGTTTTACAACAGCGACATTCTACTAGCTAGCCCGCTCGGCTTGCGCATGGCGATCGGCACCGAGGAGGACAAGAAGAAGATGGACTACGACTTCCTCAGCTCGATCGAGGTCGTCGTCGTCGACCATGCCGACGGCCTTCTCAACCAGAACTGGGAGCACATCGAGTACATCTTTGAACACCTCAACAAGCAACCGCGCGAGGCACACGGATGTGACTTTAGCCGTGTGCGTGAGTGGTACCTCGACAATCAGGCCGACCACTTCCGTCAGACCCTCGTCTTCTCAGCCTTCAACACGCCCGAGCTAGCCGAGTTGCACCGTCGCAGCAAGAACTGGGCCGGCCGCGTGCGCATCCAGCCCGAGTACAACGGCGTTATCCAGGAGCTGGCGCCCGTCAAGGCGAAGCAGACCTTTTCGCGCTTCGACGCGCCCTCCATCGCTGACGAGCCCGACGCGCGCTTCGCCTACTTCACGAGCGCCGTTATCCCGTCCCTCCTCAAGCTCGCCGGTCGCAAGGGCTCCAAAGGCGGTTCAGGCCCGGGCGACAATGCCGGCGGTGGTACACTCATCTTCATCCCTTCATACCTCGACTTCGTGCGTGTTCGCAACTACTTCTCCACCTCGGACAGTGTGGAAACACTCTCATTCGGCGCTATCTCCGAGTATGCCGACGTCCGCGAGGCGTCGCGCGCGCGATCCCACTTCCTCTCGGGCCGACATAAGGTCCTGCTGTACACTGAGCGCGCCCATCACTTCCGGAGGTACATCCTCGCCGGTGTCCGTCGCGTTGTCATGTACGGCTTGCCCGACAACCCAATCTTCTACCGCGAGATCGTGGCCGGGTACCTAGCCAAGAGCGAGCAGGATATGCGACTGGAGCCCGGGCGCGGGTCCGTTCGTGTCTTGTTCTCCAAGTATGATGTTTTGAAGTTGGAGAGAATTGTCGGCTCCAAGAGAGTGGGCAAGATGGTTCGGGAGCGTGGGGACACATTTGATTTCTTATAGACTCAGTCAGACTGGGGGAAAACAGGCGTTGTTTATAGAGCTTGATCAAGGTCAATAAAAGAGCGTAATCGTTGATGTGCATTCCTGCTTAGTGTACCTATCTATCTGTGTGCTAGCTGAAGCTGAAATTCACCCTTTCTTTGATATAGGTAGACTT